ACATTGCGGACGATGTTGAGCGTCACGGTCCACTGGACTCATTTTCGTCATTCCCTTTTGAAAGCTATTTAGGCAGATTGAAGAATTTGCTTAGAAGCCCATCACGGCCTTTACAACAGGTAGCTAGGCGTTTAAGCGAGGAAGAGGTAGCTACGCGCGATACCTCAAAGCCTTCTTCACCTAGATTCCTGCATGAGCATAATGCAGGACCGATACCAGCAGGCTATGAGGGGAGCCAGCAGTATAAATGTCTAATCACAGACAAATATCGCATTGACATTACCTCAGGCAATAAGTGCATAGAAATTGGCAATAGAATAGTATGCGTTAAAAACATACTACGTGATGCAGCCGGATGTATACATTTAGTATTTCATGAATTCTGCAATATTTCAGATTACTTTGACTATCCAAAAAATTCCTCACTTATGAAAGTTTATAAAGCTAGCATAGATGACAAGTTAGTCTGCTTACCATTACCCAGTGACTACATTAAGTACGTATGCATTCCAGAAGATAACCAGTACGTATTAATTGAAATTATATAGATAATTAGGGAAGCCACTTACTATCCTTTTGCCTATGCAAACAGTGCTCGTGAACCCTACAAACGCACAGGTATTATAGCTAGGATAACCTCACTAGGTATTGGTTTGCGAGCACTGCAGGGAAGAAGTGGCCATTACGCTAGCACTTAATTCACCTTATTTCCTGTGCGTTTGTAGATACTATCATGAGCCAACTACCGTCCCGCCAACTGCCGGCCCGACAAAGGAGGTCTGCGATTGATGAGGCGATCTACCTACTGGAAGGTGAAGGCATTTCATCGCCAGTAAGTTATGGAAAATAACGCTAGCATACCTTTCAGGAGCCGCAGGTGGACGCCAATGATTCATTCGACACCATCCCCCTCGGTGACGACACGTTAACCACAGTGCCGAAAGCCAATGCGCAGGAAGATATCCTGTTGCTCATGTGCAAGCACATGCGTGAACAGTCAATGAAACTAGACATTCTGGTGGAGACTGTTCGCAAATTACTCGGCCGTCAGCGGCTGTTAGAATCAATGATTCAACAGCATGCTAAAACCTCGGGACCGGTAGCTTCTCAGCTGCCGAGGAACCCGCTCGACCACCCATTACGGTCTGGAGCCGAATTTCGGCATTTGAATGTCCAATTACAGGACAAGAGCTTCCGACAGGAGCTGGTAAGCCACCATATTAATCACACCCTATTGCTTCAGACCTCCTTCCTTACATGCCTTGGCGGGCAGAATCTTGACGAATTCGTCAAGCGAATTTTTTTCGCAGTGTTCGACGACGAGATTAGCCTTTACGTAAATTTCAAAGGCAGGAAGACGAAAGACAGCCTCTGCGGTTCTAAACTGTATGAGGTTATACTTGGTAGGTCTGCCGTTACTTACAACTATACAACATACAGAAGTCTTCGGAGCGTGGAATACTGATTCCACCGTAAAATTGTCTGACCTAGAGTCAGCACTTACGAAGCGCCTGAAGAGGTCGCTGGACAGTTGTGTCCAGCGGCGGAATAAGTCACAAGTGACGTCCAATGACAGTGGTAAATTAATTGTAGTTTTCCAGTAATTGATTTTAATTTCTAGACAATACACAAGGACCATCTACTGATTCCTCGCCTGCGTTACCTTTGTGAACACAGAAGGAGTTCAGCATTGTACATATTACTTTTACTTTTTTTAATAAACTAATTGTTGTATTAATACAACCGTCTCCAGTGTACCTATGGGTAATAGGGGGGTAATATACATACAACAAGGAATGGAGGGGGGCGGAAAAAGGAATTGGG